ATGTGTCTCAAGTTCTTTAGATTCTATATTTCCCATACTATTCTTGCCCTCCCCCCTATCTATTTTCTATCTACCGTCTATGCTACTTATTTTCTGTACCTTCTCTCCCCTTCTCCTCCTCCCACTCCCCTGTTGCTAACCCTCCATGTGATCTTCATTTCTATGGTTCTGCTCCTGATCTAGCTGTCCTCTTAGTTTGCTTTTGTTTTAGGTGTGGTTCTGAATAACTGTGAGTTTGCTGTCCTTTCACTGTTCATCTTTTTTATCTTCTTTTTCTTAGATAAGTCCCTTTAACATTTCATATAATAAGGGCCTGGTGATGATGAACTCCTTGAATTTGATCTTATCTGAGAAGCACTTTATCTGTCCTTCCATTCTAAATGAAAGTTTTGCTGTATAGACTAATCTTGGTTGTAGGTCTTTGGATTTCATGACTTGGAATACCTCTTTCCAGCCCCTTCTTGCCTGTAAGGTCTCTTTTGAGAAATCAGCTGACAGTCTGATGGGAACTCCTTTGTAGGTGACTGTCCCCTTATCTCTTGCTGCTTCTAGGATTCTCTCCATTTTAATCTTGGCTAATATAATTATGATGTGCCTTGGTGTGTTCCTTCTTGGGTCCAACTTCTTTGGGACTCTCTGAGCTTCCTGGATTTCCTGGAAGTCTATTTCCTTTGCCAGATTGGGGAAATTCTCCTTTATTATTTGTTCAAATAAGTTTTCCACTGGTGGCTGTTTCTCTTCCCCTTCTGGTACCCCTATAATTCAGATGTTGGAGCGTTTAAAGATGTCCTGGAGGTTCCTAAGTCTCTCCTCATTTTTTTGAGTTCTTGTTTCTTCATATTTTCCTGTTTGGTCATTTTTTCCTTCCTTCTGGTTCACTTCCTTGATTTGAGTCCCAGTTTCCTTTTCATCACTATTGGTTTCCTGTGCAATTCCCTTCATTTCAATTAGTTTAGCCTTCATATGTTCGTGTAATTTGTGAGTAAAATCAACCAGTTCTGTGAGCATCCTGATCATCAGGGTTTTGAACTGTGCATCTGATAGGTTGGCAATTTCTTGTTCACTTAGATTTATCAGCTCTGGGGCTTTGAGTTCTTCTTGAGCCATGTTTTGGTCTGTTTGGGCCTGTTATGTATGAGGAGGGGCACCTTCGGTGTTCACCAGGGCGGGGCCACCCAGGTCACTGGGTTGTGAGGCTGTATATGGGGGCAGGGTCAGAGCGGGGAAATGGCAGCCTCCTCTGCTGCTGCCTGCCACTGGGGCCTACTCCCTCGCCGGTCTATCTGCGTAGGAATGTGTGACCAGTCAACCTGCTGCCCTGCACCCTTGCTGGGTTGCCAGTCGCTCACTGGGTCACTCACTGGGTCTGACCTTTGCAACCCCATGCCTGGGATTCACACACCTGAGTCCATCTGACTTCATCTGACTGAGTTTTCCTGTGCAACCCCTCTCTGCCAGCTGCTGGCTTCGCCCCTCTTACCAGTCAGGCTGAAGAATTCGTTGTTATCAGACTTTCGAAAAGTTCAATTTTCTGTGTTCTGGCTATGTTTTCTATTGCTAGTATTTTGTTGTCTCTAAACTTGGTTGTGTGAGAAAGCACGGTGTCTTCACCTATGCCTCCATCTTCGCAGAAGTCCATATATTATTTTTTAAAATTATTTTCTTTAATCTACACCAATGGCTACCTGCTGTCAAATTTCTGCTTCCCTTTTAGAAAATTCCAAGTTGCCTCTTCTTGTAGTTAGAAAAACTACTCTTTTTACCTCAACCCCTCTAATCAGGCTGCTATCTCCACCAAACTGTTCCTCAAGATTAGTGATCTCTATATTGCCACAACCAGCCACTAAGTATCATTCTTTAATCCTTTCTTTAAAGTACTTTTGTCACAGGTGGGCACAGGTAACCAGGTGCTTGGTGATTGCAGACAGAGAATTGAACTAAACACACAAAGAACTTATAGCAGAAAGAGAGAAGGCAGATTAAGTGTTAGCATACTCCACAGAACATGGGAGCAGACCATGTACGAGAAGAGATTGACCTCAGGGCCTGGAGGGATTCTATTCTTACAGGGTGTTAGGGACCACCCTGTCTGGTTTCAGGAATTGTAAACCGTCTCCCATATCTAAGGCTGTGAGCGGCCTTTGTAATACCAGCCACTGAGGAGACAAGGCTTGTCTCTGGCAGCATATGCTGCCCCTGCTTCATCTCCCTGCCCCCAAAGTATGGTCGGATGGTCAGAGACAGGTGAGACCCCTCAGAGGAGGGGCAACCTAGGCCAGACACAATTACTAGGGAGGCCATCATGGAAGGACTCCGGGGCTGCAACAAAGAGGGAGTGATGGACCCTCTCCCCCTAGCTGTGATGAAGCCCAAGTCCCCATATCCTCTTGGAGAAGCGCTTCCTGGCTCTAATCCACTTAAGCCTAAAAACTTATGATGGGGAAGGCAGTGCAGCCCAGTGCTGGGAATGGTGGGTTGCCTGGGTAATTAGGTCTGAGAAGGAATATGTGAAGCCCTGTGAGACCTGCTTTGTTTAAGAATGTTTTTAGTTAGATGATAAGGGCCTAAGCAGAAGAGTTTATGTTCCCAAAGTTCTGTAGCCCTTTACCTGACAGGCCCTGATTCAGAAGAAACCCTAATGGTTCTTTGTATATGATCTACTGTTTACTGCTTGACAATGATTAATAAGCTGTACCTGAACTCCTGTGTAAAAATCCCAATAAAAGCCTGACTAGACAAGGCTCGGTGTACTCTCTCCCCTGGTGAGAGAGTTGCCCGGCTGCTGCAGCAAGCCACTCTCCCCTTGAGAGGATGGCAAGGCCATTCTGAGGTTTCCCCCCCCTTGAGGGAGTAGCCTTGCCAGCCCTTTTTCTCCACAGGACTCAGTAGTCCGTGTGAATTTGCCTCGTCCCATCCTCGTCCCATCCATGATGCCAAGGGTACTGCTTGTCAGTGCATGTGTCAACAGGGCAGATCTTTCCTGGCTAGTTTTGGTGGGCTTCTATTGTGCATGTACCAGTAGTTATATTTAAAGCTACTGTGCATGCGGTCTCCCATAATTTTCTTTGACTGGCCACTGGAGAACGGGGTCGCACAATGTTAATTTATTATAATGCTATTATAATGAAGCAGGGGTCATGTAGCATTTTCTGCAAAGGTGCATTCATGATTCACCATGATTCAGTGCTTTTCCAGAAAGCGGGAAAAACTGGTTTTAGACAGCGTCTCTGTCCTGTATCGTCGTCCTTTATCTTAGCCCTGGGGCACTTCTGGAGTTTCCTCCTTCCTGACTATCTCCTGCCTCACATTTTTTACAGTATGTTTTATTGACTATGCTATTACAGTTGTCCCAATTTTTCTCCCTTTGCCCCCTTCTACCCGGTACCCACCTTCCCTCCAGCAATCCCCCACCTTAGTTCATGTCCATGGGCCCTACATATAAGTTCTTTGGCTTCTCCATTTCCTGTGTTATTCTTAGCATCCCCCTGTCTATTTTGTATCTACCAATTATGCTTCTTGATTCCTGTGCCTTTTCCCCCATTCTCCTCCTTCCCTCTCCCCACTGATAAAACCTCCATGTGATCTCCATATTTAGGATCCTGTTCCTGTTCTGGTTGTTTGCTTCGTTTTTGGTTTTTGTGTTTTTTTTAGATTCAGTTGTTGATAGTTATGAGTTTCTCATTTTAATGTTCATAGTTTTAATCTTTTTCTTAAATAAGTCCCTTTAACATTTCACATAAGGGCTTGGTGATAATGAACTCTTTTAGCTTTGCCTTTTGTTCTTTTCAACTTTGGTAACACCACTTCCCTAGTTTTCTACCTATTTCACTGATAACTCCTCCTCAGTGGGCTTTTCTTTTTACATAATCTCTCCCTCCATCTTTAAGTAACATCTCTGTGCTGATAACTCCCATTTTTGTGTCTTTAACCCTGACCATTTCCTTCAACTCCAGACTGCTGTTTAACTGCCTACTTGTTATATCTACTTGGATTTCTAACAGGACTCACATTTAAAGTGTCTAAATTTGATTTTTAACCCCTCACAAACTCATCTTTCTCATTTTCCCCACTTCAGCATGGAGGACCCTCCATTCACTCTACTGGGGAATTATCTTTGAATCTTAACCACCACTCTTATCCAGACCATTAGCAATGGCCATCAACTCTTACTTCCAAGACTTATTCTAAATCTCTGCTCTGCTTTGTCACCACTGCTCAATTCTTGCCTGAGCTGCTGAAAAAAAGCAGCCCCTGAACATTTTTCTGCCTTCCATTATTCCCTAACAATTTAACAGTCAGAATCATCTAAAAATGAAATCATGTCACATTACTTTCTGACTTAAAATTCTGACTTCACTGCTGTTAAAAATTTAAACTTTAAAGACATCACAGCTTAGAGATCTATAGCTTTCCCATTTATCTGTGTGCTTGAGCTACATTTTCTTTCCCTGAAACACACCAAGTTCATTTTCACTTTAGGGACTTTGTGTTCAATAGGGCTTCTACATGAGATACTTTTCATGTCAGCTTAAATGTATCCTCTGTTTGAGGTTACAGGCCTTCCCGGGCCATTCCACTATAGTCACTCATAACCCAGTTTTATTTTCACCATGGTATTGATCACCACTTGACATTTGGGGTCAGTCCTGTCCAAACAGAATGTTAGTTTCAGAAGAGCAGGGACTTTTCCTTGCTCCACACTGTTACCCTAACACCTGAGATGGTTCCTGGTTCATAAAGGGAACTCCAGAATTTGCCAACAAATGCATACCTTGTCTGTTAAGTTAAACCAAACATTTCATATTCCAAAAGAGATATTTACATTCAATTCTCTTTGCTCAGCTAGGGCTATTTTCTCTTTATTAAAAAAAAAAGGCAACATTGAAGCAATTTCCAAGGTCATTGAAGCAATTTCCAAGTTTCATTAGACATTACAAGGCCTTGTCCCTTATATTAACAATCTACTTAGAGCATTCGCATATAAGCAAGTGGCTTTCATTATATATCCTAACTTACAAATAAGTTTAACACATTTTATAATATTTCTGAGTATACCTTACTATGTCGTGGTTTTTTAGGCATCAGGTTCTTGAAGAAAGCATAAGAAAATGTTTTGGGTGCGGTCCTCCAACATATAAGGCATAGGAAATGTCTTCAGACTCTTGGATCCCTGTAGATAAAGCCCATACAGCTGGCGTCTGATGATCCAACTGTTCCCACATGTCCACATTCCAGAACGGTAAGATCAGTAGACCCAGGCAAGCCTACAAAGACAACACATGTTAAGTGCAAATGATTCCATTTTCTAAAGTATTATTGTGATTTAATCAGTATCTGGCCTTGAATGGTATGGTTCAGTGTGTTGTGTGACATCCTGCAAACTAAAAGTTTGCCAGTTCAATTCCCAGTCAGGGCAGATGACTGGGTTATAGGCCAGGGCCTTGGCTGGGGGCATGTGACAGGCAACCAATCAATGTTTCTCTCCCTTGCTTTCTTCCTCCTTTCCCCTCTAACAATAAATAAAATCTTTTAAAAGTTTAATATCTGACTCTTTCTAGCAGATGGTCAATTCTTAGGACAGAGATGGCCTCCATATTATGTTTATATTCTGGAATAGTTGACCCCTTCTATATATATTTTGTTGTTGCTGATTGCTTCTTGGCAACTCCACTGTAGGCTAGATTACAGGAGGCACATTTGGTAGGTAGTCTTGGATGGACAGGCTGTGTTTGATCCAGGCACAACTTGTGATTCATCTCAGTATTGAATTTGGTGTTTATTGGCATTGCCTACTGATATTATAGCTTTGTTCGTTGGAAAGAGGGATGGCAGAAACAAGGTCATAATCTGTTGTTCGAGTATATTGGTGATATACTTTATCACCAGTATCACTTTCACCTGTATTATTATACTAGGGCTGCTGTGTTCCTTAGTATCAGCCATTTTCCACATTGTCTTTGCTGCTCGCAGGGTCAGTTCCTCTGTGGAAGTTTCTTCCACTGTCGCTTCTGTTCTTGGGACAATTAGGGATGATGCTTGGTTCATTGATTCCTGTAGTTCTTTCAGTAGCAGTGCTGGGGGCCTATCAGACACCGCAGCTGCTAGTGTGCCTGTGTGCTGTGGGCCTGCTGGTCAAGGGGACCTGTTTGGAGACTAATGTTCAGGCTGCTCTGCATTAATTCAGACATCTTGTGCTGCATTTGTTGATCCCATCAAATATTTCTTGAATGAACACTTCAGTTTCTCAAATTAAGTCTTGCCTTCACATAGCTTAGGGTGATAAATGACCAAAATACCTGGGAATTCATTAAGTGGTTTAGCTAAAGAAACAGGCCATAGGACCCTAATCTGAAGTAGACGCATTACTCAGTAAATGCCAGCCTGCCTGCAACTACTTCTAAAAGAAAGCTTTCCTCCATGCTCTTGGTTGAAAGAAATAGAGAAGTGCCAGAACCTAGACTGGGCTCGAACAAGGGATTATGACCTTATTTCTGCCATAACTTACTGCATTGTAGCCTCTAGCTGCTGTACCAATTGTTTGTCCACATGGCGACAGAACAGGGGAAGAAGGTTGCTGGGGAAAGATAAGGGTTCTGCCAGAGAGGCTGTAGGCATCTGAGCTATCTCCCAGGCGATTAGAATCACTATGTCTGTCCTGGAGAGCAGAGAGGAAGAAATATATCAAAGTATTTGTATTTATACAGGAAAGAGGCTCAAGGCCAAGTTCCTTATTATACTTTATCACCAATATCACTTTCTATGCATGCAGCAATTAAGAGAACATTTGCACTTTTGATATATGCCAAGGCACTGATTAGTGCTTTACGCATCTTTTAATGTTCAAAACTCCAAGCGGCTAGTACTGTCATCCTAGATTCTTCTTTTATAAATGAGGAAACAGGCTAAAGAGAAGCTAAGTAACATACCCGAAAGTTACAGTACTAATAAGTGACAGAGGCAAAATTCAAACCTATGTCTGTTTGACTCCAAAGCTTGTCTACTTCTAATTGTAATGGGGGAAAAAATACAATAATGTAAAAACAATTAATAATATAAAAATAAAAATAAAGCTTGTTCCCTTAATTATTATGTTATACTGCCTCCCATGGAAAATAACACTCTGGGGAACTAAAGGGGGGTGGGGGCTGAAGAAAAGGCAGAGCAGCTACAACTCTGCTAGTATTTCCTTTGACCAACTTCTTTCCTGATGCTTGAGTACACCACTCAGGAAATAACTCATCTGGTCCAGCCTACACATCCCAGAGGTACTGAAATAATATTTACAGGCCGTTATGATCTTACCATGCTATATGGTCACTGTTGGATTCCACTAGGGATGGATCCAGGGATACCAGCTGCTCCCCATGACTCAGCAGGGCATAGAGCAAAGATATTCCAAACTGCAAGTGATAAAGCATCCAGGGAAAATGAGTTCACCCTAAGCATTTGGTGCTTCCCTGGCTCTGTCTTCCTAACTACAACAGCACATTTACACGTACAAATTGAGTCCAACATCCATAAAACTTAAATTTTACATTGGCTGGCCAAAGAACTCTCAGATCTTTCCAAGGGAATCACTGCTCTGAACTTTCCAAAAGATTCTTCCAGGTCAGGGGTCCCCAACCCTCAGGCCACAGACCAGTCTGTGGCCTGTTAGGAACCAGGCTGCAGAGCAGCAGGCAAGCAAGGCTTCATCTGTATTCACGGCCGCTCCCCATCACTGGCATTACTGCCCGAGCTCCACCTCCTGGCAGCAGCAGCATTAGATTCTCATAGAAGTGTGAACCCTACTGTGAACTGTACATGCGGGGGATCTAGGTTCATGCTCCTCATGAGAATGTAATGCCTGATGATCTGAGGTGGAGCTGAGGTAGTGATGCTAGCACTGGGGAGCAGCTGCACATATAGATTATCATTCGCATAGAGGTATGACTGCATAGAGACAATAAACCAATTGCCTGCAGACTCATATCAAGACTCTATCAGTGAGCGGCAAGTGACAATTAAACTGCATGGTAGCAGACTATAAAGCCATCCCCCTACCCAGGTTCATGGAAAAATTGTCTTTCATGAAATTTGTCCCTGGTGCCAAAAAGGTTGGGAACCACTGTTCTAGGGAACTGACTAAACGCACACTCACGGGTCCTGCTCCCAGCAGTCAGGAGTCAGAGGAGTAGGTCAGAAATGGACCCAGGAATCTGATGCAGGTAGTCTGTGGACCACACTGTAAGAAGCATTGCTTTAGGCAAAGGTCTTTGGAGGGGGGTTCATAAGACAATCCACTGGCATATTAGAAGATATCAGAACTTCACCTCTAGAGTCTCGCCTTTTAAAATGTTTTAATTTGGATTATATACCTAATATTAGTATAGTGTTACATATAAATGACTTATAAACACACACAGGTGATGTGTCAGGTTTTTTTTTTTTTTTTTTTTTTACCGAAAGTGCAACAAAATGAAAAAACTTTGGTGACCTCTGCTCTAGAGGGCATGTGAGCACCACCATCAGAGAGCTTGTTAGAAAAGCAGATGCTTGGGCCCCACCCTGAGTCTACTAAATGTGACTCTCTGGCAGTGGGCCCAAGGAACTGGTATTCAATAAGCTCTCCAGGTGACCCTAATGCTCACTAGAAGCTGATAAACACTACAGAGGATAAGCAGGGAAGATGAGGAGAGGAGAACATTCCCTCACTGATTCCATGTCAGTGATACCATCTGGAGGCCATCTGTGGCAAGAGAAAAACCTCCCAGACATGTTACCTGATTCTGAAGCACCACAGTGACTGGCCGCTCTGAAGAGCCAGGTGGAAGCTGCATTAGTCCCTGAAGTCCTTGGAGGAGTTCATGGAAGGTCAAGTGACTGATGTGTTTGCCCAGAGGTTTGAATAACATTTGTAGGACCTGCAAGAAGGTCAGTGAGTGCCTCTCTCAGACTTCTCTGCAACTTCACCTCCTCCTGTCTTGCACCCCCCTCCTCCCCACCCCCGATCTCTTTTCTCACTGACCTGCCTTTGTTACCTACCCGGTTGGGTTATTTACCACACCTATTACCACTAGTATCTCTTCATTCCCAATCCTGACCTACTCGGTTCTCGGGTGCTTTCCCTAAGAAAAGTAGATATAGGGCTCAACTTTTGTCAGGAAGTTCTTATTTTTGCACCCTCCCCAGCACACTCACACCTGTGCAACCAAGGCCTGTGTGTTTTCTTTTACTCATTACACCCATGAATGCTCAGCTGTTCCTACAGTTCATTCTGTAACCCCTCACAAGCTGTGAGGGGGGGTAACCCCCCTCAAGCTGTTACCAGCTTAAGAGACTCAACCTTGAGGGTGGCAGGTCTGACACCCCTCACTGCCAAGCACCTTCTCTGGAATCTCTGGGGCTGGGGACTGGAGGAGAAAACATCCCTAACCCATCCATGAAACCATCCTCTTCTCCACTTAATGCCACAGTACCTGGTCAGCTGCATCCCTCTTGACAAGGAGAGGCAGATGGTGGGTGATTACCAGAAGAAGGCTAACAGCCTGATCCTGGGGCAGGAAGGGGAGCAGCCGGGCCACTAGGGCTTTCCCCTTCCTCACAGAAAGCACCTGCAGGAAGCCATCTGCTGCCTCCCTGTGAGTGAGATAGGAGAATATTTTCAGGCTGTGCATAGAGGAGAGGATAACATGCCAGAAAGGAGAGGCTGAAGCAAAGCCAGTGTCTGCTGGGCGGAGTGTGACTCTCCCGTGCTCACTCCAGGTTATTCTGCTCCTTGCTCTTTAAGGCCTGGAAGAGCTTCTCAACGTGATTTCTCTGCTGCTTGGAGTAGCAGGTCTGTGGAGGCCCATTCTTCTGACCCTCCTCTATCTCTAGTAACTGAAGAAACATCTGGGAATTTGAGGGTGGGAAAAGAGGAAGAGGGGGTCAATTTGAGCAATATCCCATTTTCAAGGATAAGTTAGGAAATCATTCCTAAGAAGTTGATCTCACCTTTTCAATCCATGACAACACCCAAAGCCTTTGACTGCTGGCAGCCCCCGTCTCCTAGAAGAAAGAGTCCCCGGCCATCAGCTGCACTTCCACAGCAGCAGTGCAGGTGTTCGGCGAGCTAGAAATTGAGCTGGAAAAGCTAATTACAAAGTTTGATTGCACTTATTCCTCCCATATTAAGTCACAAACTAAACTCAAGCATGAGGGTGCTCAAGACCTTGCTCCAAAACAGGAAACAGAAAAAAGGTTCTAGGAAGATATCACTCCTACCGGCTCTGGAGTTCCATGGGGTACAGCATCAATAGCTCTGCGAGGGCTAAAACACGTCGACATGGCTACCTGGCCTAGAGAACCCTCGATTCGAACCACTGCACAAAAGAAGTCAGAATGGACATATTGCCCTCCACTTTCCACCCTCTGTCCACCCAGATGGCTAGCCCAACCCAGCATGTCAGCCTGCTCCTACCTGACTCGTAAGCCTCCGCCTTCTGAATATAAGGTGTTACCAGCTTGAGAGACTCAACCTTGTTCCTTCGTCCAAGAAGCTCTTCATCTGCCTCCTTCTTCTCTAGTTTCTGATAATATTTCTGAGAGTCCACAGAATGTAAAAACATATACTCAACTTCTGAACTTAGAATTAAGGTTCTCCAGTGGAACTTCTTAACACACACTGTCCTACAGCATCCATTTCAGAAATGTTCCTGGCACCTTAGGCCCTATTGGCAACCATTCTAAAGTATTTTAAATGCCTTGGGCCTCATGCTACCTGTCCTGGGATTCCCATACTAAGGCCCTCATAAGCTAGGTACTATTGCCAGGTCTGATAAAAAGGCAGAGAGAAAAATGGAGAGCCAGGAAGCAAACCTAACCCAGCATCTGCAACCTTCCTGCATTCCTTGTTTCCAAGTTATCCATTAGACGTCCCATATCCTCCACCTCCTCATTTTGATAATATGATTCTACCTGTGTTTCCCAAAGTCAGAGTTAACTGGTGGCATGAAGATATGGAGGAGGAAATTAGTCAAAATGTCTGCCACAATTTGTTCAATTGAATAAATCAAATCCCACTATTTCTAAGATCTCTGTGGTTTTGATGTAAAAAAGTAAAGATAAATAGATGAATGTTTATAACAAGACATTTCTAAAGACTCAGAAATGTGTACAAAGGTGGAAAGTCCATATTCCCAGGCTGAATAGAGAAAATTCATGGCAAAGGATAGAGACAAAACCTCAGGGTGTTTGGGGAATTGTAAAGAATCCCATTGGGCAGAAGTGTAGGAGAACAGAGGGGTGAGTGAGGTCAGAATGTCAACTATAGAAATAGGGCCCCTATGAGCTGAAGAGAGGACCTCAGAGGGCCCGTGGAGTCCAGGCCTTTTTGACCCCAAGGTCAGAGGCTGAGAAGAATATATGGGGCTCACCTGGTAGTAATAGTCTTCCAGGTAGGGGTTCTCACTCTGCAGCTGAACCATTTGCACTTTTATCACCCAGTCCTTCTCTTTTCGGGTCATGAGTTTAGCATAGGGGTCTGGCTGCCGAGACCAAGGCTTCTTGGCTGGGGAACTTGAAGCCAGGAGGAGCATCCCTTTAGACACACCCACCCCTGCCACAGTGAACTTCTCAAGGAGTGGTGAGCAGGGAGCAGAGCTGTCTGGGAAGGATGGGAGAGAGTGCAGAGGTGGGCAGCACTATGGGACTCCAAACTGTGCAGGGACTTTGGGGAAATACCCAGCATGCATATGAGCTGCCCTCAACCTTGCTCCAGGTCTAGTTTTTACCTTGGTGTTCCACTATGCTGCTGCAGCTGGAGGATCCGTTGGTGCTGGGGGTGGAGCTGGGTCAGATGACTGGGGAGACTTAGAAAGAAACTTAGCTGAAAGCAAGGTCTCAGCTCCTTACCTTTCCCACTCAGCCTCTGGTAACCTCAGCTGGACATCTAAGGGAACTCTGTTTATGTGTCTCTCCAAAGTCAGCCACATGAAACAACATAATCCTAACTCAACAGGGCTCACAGGCCCCTGCAGGATATATTTTTCTGCATTTTGGCTGCAGGAAATCTTGACACAGTAGAAAATAATTTAGTCTGGTTGCCAGGAGTTCTCAGTCCTAATCTCAGTTCTGCATGCCAGCTAACCTTCAAGTAAGTTCTTTTAGTCTCCCTGGGCCTCCATTTCCTCATTTGTGAGGGAAAGTGGTTTAGACCCTACCTCAGACTTTCCTTATTAAGTTTCTGTATTTTTCTAAGACAGCTGGTAGAGTGGCCCCCACCCTTCTGCAGCCACTGCCTCCTGAGACCTTCGAAGAAGAGCTCTGACTGTTGCGGATGCTGGGGTGCCAGGCACCCTGAACCGGTACCTGAACCTAGGGGGCCATGAGGTCGGTGAGCTGCAGAAGAGAGATGGGTCTGGTGAGAGCAGTCGAGGTCCAAAGTGCCGCACCGGGGAGCTCGTGCTGGGAAGGGTAGGCCGAAAAGGAACTGGTGACAAGTAGTCCAGGGTCTAAGAGGAATAAGAGGCCTGTGAGGAGGGCATCTCCACCAATTCAATGCTGCCCTTGCTGCTAAGTCCCTTTTCTGTCTCTATATTCTCACCTGCCTTTACCCTCAAGAACCTCACCAGACATTTTGCTGCCTTGGGGGAAATTCAAGCCAACTGTGAGATCACCAGACTGTGGATCCAGTTCTTGTTCCCAGCAGGGTTTCTCACCTCCTAGGGAGCAGCTCTTCAGTCCATGACAATGTAGAGACACGTGTTTTCCCTACTGTCTGGTGAGCCAGCATCTCTTGCTCTCCTTTCTATGATAGTCTTCTCTCAGGTTCTTGTGCTTTCAGTCACTGGGACAATGCTTAGCTGTCTCTTCTCTGACTCACTGGAAGGCCTCCTGAGACCTGCCTTTTCCTACTCTTCTCCCTGCAGTATTTCCTGCAGGTCCTCTACCCCAGACCATGTCTCATTAAGTAGTTCATGGAAGGGCAAGTGCTCTTTCTAACCCTAAGCTCAGTGCTGCTTATTTGCTGAAAGGCAGGGAAGTGGAAGTAGGGATCTACTTTGTCCTTCTTCATATGAATGGCCAGTTATACTAGTACCACCTCTGTCTGTAGGGAAGTACTTACCATGCTTCCCTACATGAAAGGGCATCTCCCACTTTTCATACCTACATCTCACTTTGGGGGCTTCATATCCAAGAGCAAGGTTAAGAGAAGACTGAACATAGTGGAAATATGGAACACTTGGCATGCTTCTCCTCAGCAACCAGTCACTTTATCTCACTATGGTGTCTGGAGCAACTCACCTGCCATAGAAACTGCAAGGAGGTAGGTGACATCCCCAGCATACCAGAGGCCTTGATTCCAGGAAAGCTAAGAAGACCTCTCTGGAATGAGAGGGAAAAAAAACCCAGGTTCATATGAACCTCTGTAGTGTCTTCTAAATTCATCTGTGTCTATGGGGGTGGGGAGCAGTAAGTACAACCATTTCTAATACCCATGACAGTGGCAAACTGGTTCTCCTCCCTCATAATCAAAGTCAACTGGGCCAGGCCCCTCTCCTTCCCTGAGGGGAAGCAAGACTAGTATCTCAGGAGCACGTTGATCTGAGGCACTTCATTCCACATGGCAATCCTTGTCTCTCTCCATTGGCTGTGGAAATCCAAGGCAATACATACCAGTAATGAACTGCTGAGACACAGGGGCCCAGAGTCAAAGCACCAGGAGCAGGGCCAGCCCCTATGGGTGACGCACAGCCCTGATAGGACCTGGTTTTCAAGGTGAAGACAGCATCAGAAACTAAGTAGGTGACAGGAGGAAAGAAGTAACAGAGTCCCTACTCATGTTCAAGCCTGAAGTAGAAAGTGTTAACCCAGGCCCTATCTTAGAAAGGGGTGGAGAAGAAGAGAGGGCTGTCTAACTATACTGTGAACAGCAGACAGTTCTGGACAACAGTCCCTCCAGCCCCTCCTGCCACAGTACCTGGGTGTTATGGACCACACTGAGGACAGCTGGATCCCCAAGATCTTCCTCTTCTTCATCTACTTCCTCCTCCAGGTTTGGGGCTAGATCTGGATCCAGGTCTTCTTCTTGCTCATTTTCTTCCTCCTCCTCCAGCTGGGAGGCAGGCACCAGCTCCGCTTCAGGAGCCAAGCAGCCACAGGACTTGCCTGGGCCTTGGTTTGATTGGGGGCCTGAAAAAGAAGTAGAAGGGGGCTCAGGTGTGAGGAGTATCATCTAGAGAGGCAGCTTCTCAGTAGCACTTTTGTTCATGAGCTGTCTCCAGCACCACCTTCTAACAAGTCCTCCTGTCCTAAGGGTTTAATAGCCTCCCTGCCTCAGAGAGCCCCTGTCTTCCACTAGAGCAAACAGAACCTGGCACCTGGTGTCAGGCACCTTTACTTTCTACATCCCCTCTTCAGTTACTTCATTAGCTATCACCACGGGCTTCTCCATCTGCTCTCCTCTACCTAATAGCCACTTCTGGCCCTCTTTAATCAAGCAAGTTCCAGCTGCCCTGATTCACTGCAATTTAACTCTACTGTGTGCCAGATATTTCACGTGTATGTTCATTTAACTCTCACAAAAATCGTATAAGCCCGTATTGATCATTTCACTATGAAGCTGAGAATTAGGGACCCAGAAAAGTGATTTCAGTCACCCAGCATGATATAGCTAGCAGGCAGAAGAGTTTAGAGTTATTCCCAGTGATTCTGGACATGCAAGCCCATGTCCATCACTGAACCAGAACAGCAAGTCTCCGCATCCCCAGGCTTTTTATCCAGATACTGTGGCCCATTTAGTGATACCTTCAAGACATTTCATCTTTACAGGCTGGTGGACTTTCTCCATGGCTGTTCCCTCTGATGAGAGAGCACTGTCAGCCTCTGGAACATAAACCTGGGACACAGGGGAGACCCAGAGACACCCTCCCCTTCAGTAAGGATGGCATGGCACCCAAAACCATGGTCATCCCCCAGCAAGGTAGTCAGAGGAGCATGGCCCTGGGCTCTCAGACTGACCTAAACCTCCACCCTATGACCTCACCATCCCAGCTCTAGACAGCAGTCCTGCAAAGGGACAGAAGGGAGGGACAGGGCTAGGAGTTGGAGAAACACTCCCCTGCAAACACCACCAGCCTCCATCTGTGCACAGTGAGGGGGCTCACAGTTACCTCGTTGCTGCCCTTTCTGCTTACTTTTGCCATGGTAGCATGGGCCAACACAAGCTTGCTGCCTTAGCTTTAAGAGTCCCCGCCACTCCCCTACTCTCCTGTTAAAGGGCCAGCATCCCCCAAAACATGGCATCTTGATAGGCATATGAGAACATAATCTTATGATAAAGAAAATCCTTGAAAGGGCAAGAGAAATAAACTGCATTTTTAACCATTCAAGTTTTGAGTACAGTTTATTGGGATTGATATTTGGGAGCAGATATTTAAAAAGGGTATCCCTGTGTTCTACATCCATCATAGGAATTGAGTAAGGTTATGTTCCCTTCAATCCCTACTTTTGTTCCATCAAAATTGGATAGGAAAATTGGCAGATCCTGGGGAGATTACCTAGCAACAAAGATCTCAGGGCCTCAGGGCAGTGGATTTGTGGATCCCTGCAGTCCACCTGGTGATGCTTGCCCTTCATCGTGTCCGTGAATTTAAGTCTGCTACCCAGTTCTAACTGATAAAGGAATCCTGTGAATTTAGAAGCCAGATCTTCAAGGTAAAAACATTTTTGCATGATTACACAATCTTGCATCTTCTTGGCTGCTGCAATGGAAAACTGGCTCAGAAGCTGAGGAATAAAAAGAAAAGAAAGAATAACAATAAAAACAAGCATATAACTACTACTGGTAGGCAAAAATCCAAGACCCCACCTGAACTTCATCTAAGCCCCAAGTGATCCTGGCTGGGTTCTGTGCCCACAGCTGTGCTCAGCTGAACCTCACATGACTTTGTAGACCTTCCGAATAAAAATAAAAGCAAAGCAAATTTCTCTACAGCAGAAAGGCAAGTTGGGGCCCTATCATCCTGGTTATAGGACTATGATTCTTGATGCCTCTAAATAAAAATATTTGTTTCAAAAGTTTTGCTGTAGGTCAAAATTACATGGATGGGCAAAATTTTAAGTAGCTTGAAAGTTAGTAAAAAACTTTTCAAATATCTTAATTGGGTTCAGGTCTTTTGGTATCATTTTTCAGCTGTTTCTCTCATGAACTTCCTAACAGTTCACTTTGGTATTATTAACAAGAGGGCCAAGTGGTGAATTTTAGTGTCCCAGAAGTGAGTTATTAGGTTGACCATGTCTGAGGGAGAGCCACCTGCTTCATATATAGATTTTCATTCTGAAGGAACTTCTTGTACCAACTCGTACCAAGCAGGTGAAAACAGGACTTAGTTTTCAAGATTATAGTCTTACTTTGGCTATTTGAAATTTTACTGGAGACCTGGTGGGTTTTGTGAAAGTCTCCTACTTTTTCCTGAAGTCTCATGAAGTCTTAGACTGTCTGAACTTCTGGCACAGTTTAGCTGTGCTAAGTTTAAGCCAAACTTGTGGTAGGCTTGGTGTACAGCAATTGAATACAGCAGATGCCACCCAGGGCCTCTTACAGCTTCGGGACAAGTACAGACAAGTAAACAGAACTGTTAGATCAAAGATACATACAAAACCTTTACATTGGTGGGGAGGGGGCACAAGGGGTCTAAATGGTAATGGAAAAAATACAGTAAAGATAACATTTTAAAAAAGAAAAGTTTACATTTGCTAAATAAAACATCTAAGGACAGTTCTTGTATGGAAGATTATTAATCCATCATTTTAGTTTTTTTTTAAGAGCTGTAGATCTATTCCAGTTTCAGTTTTTTCTTGAGGTTGTGTTGTTAAATTATATAATATTCTAGAAATGTGTCCATTTCTTGTAAGTTCAAATTTATTGGCATAAAGTTGTTTATAGTACAAGAGTATTTTTTAAATTCATCCTTAAATCTGTACTTTGTCTCTCTTGTTATTTCTAACATTATTTATGTGTTGTCCCCTCTTTTCTTCTTTTCCCCAGTTTGTCTATTTTATTGGTCTTTTTTAAAAAACCCAGGGATTCTGGTTTCTAAGTCAAGGATTCTGCAGGAAGTAGATAGTTCACTCAAATTGGATAATTAAAGTAGAATTTAATAAAGGAATATTTATAAAGGTATAAAAAGAATATAGTGCCATTTTAAGGAATAGTACAGTGCCCTAAAGCTGGTAGTAGTTGGTGATTACCACTTTAGGACAAGGACCAGAGGATGGAGCCATTACCAAAACCTGGAGATAGAGAAGGCTGCCTGGTGGGCAGATAACGTCAACACCTGTCATATGGGCTCCAGTGTGGCAGCCCTCTCCTAAATTACATCCATTCTCTCTGAGATCTGTATCTCTCTCTTCTTGCTTCTCGAGGTCTAGGCATGGCAAAGGCTCACCACCCTTTCTGGCCCCAGGGGTGCTTCACTTTCCTTTATCAAGTTCCCTTAATCCTGCTCACACTTTGGTAAACATGCCCATCACAAAACTCTCCTTGGTTACCAGATTCGAATGTGCTATTTGTTTCCTATCAGAACCCCAACTAATACCATCTCCATCACCAGCCTCCAGGGCCATTCTTTTCTTTGTCTTTCTTCAGCTTTCTGTCCCAACCTTCAATTATCAGCATCTAAAATATAATCATTGTCCTAAAGTCCCCTGCACGACTCCACTCTCTTTATTCGAAGCAGTCACCTCACCTCTTATGTTACAGAGAAATAGAGAGGCCTTTTGGGCTGATCTACCATATTTTTCAGACTATAAGACGCACCCCCCACCAAATTAGGGAGGGAAACGGGGGTGTGTCTTATAGTCCAAATGTAGCTTTACATTTACTTTGGTGAAATATTATGTTATTTATGTTATTAAATATTTTACCACATTTTTTCTTCAAATTTTCCCCTTATTTTCCTCTATAACCTAGGTGCACCTTATGGTCTGAAAAATACGGCACTTCAATTTACAATTGGAGGAAATTGACATGCAGGCACAGGCCTCCTCCCTCGATCTTCCAGGTTTACCTCTGCTACTCAAACCTCTTCCTCTGGATCCTGCGCCCTCTGCCACTTCAGTCGTGCCTCTCTCCTCTGTGTCTTCAGCCTCTCTGTTTTTCTTCCTTTCTTTTTCTGATGGCACAACATAGATATATCAGGATGTGTTCATTGTTACAGACAATAATCCTTGTCTTGTTTTTGTTTCTTTTTTTAACTGCCCCCTATTTGTGTCCTGCCCAACAAACCAAGCTTCTCCATTTCCTCAACTCATATCATTTCTTCAACTGCTGCCCTCTGGCTTTTGAATCCATTTTAATCGGGCATCAGGGGACAGACGGACATCATCCCACAAGCCCCTCAATTCTTCCTAAGGACAACTGATAACTTTTCAGCCTTATGTTAGTACTCTGCAAATACACCATCACGACGAATCCCCTACTCTCACTTCTACTCAGATGCCACCACTGAACACTTCTTGGATTAAAAAAATAAATTGAAGCTATCATTACCCATCGTTCCTCAGAAACTATTCTCATATACCAGTAATTTTTTTTTTTAGATTTTATTTATTTGTCTTTAGAAGGGAAGGGAAGGGAAGGGAAGGGAAGGGAAGGGAAGGGAAGGGAAGGGAAGGGAAGGGAAGGGAAGGGAAGGGAAGGGAAGGGAAGGGAAGGGAAGGGAAGGGGAGAAGGAGAGAAACATCAATGTGTGGTTGCCTCTCGTGAGTCCCCTGCCGGGAACTGGCCTGCACCCCAGGCATGTGCCCTGACTGGGAATCAAACCGTGATCGTGTGGCTCACAGGCCCGTGCTCAATCCACTGAGCTACAGCAGCCAGGGCTCAATTACCAGTAATTTTCTAACTGTAAGTGCAAAAGACATGTTTTAGTCCTTACCTTAAGGCTGTTGAAGTCTCTACAGCCCTGATACTGTTGATCATGCCCTCTGTACGTCCCTATTTCCCACAGCTTCCTGACAGTTCAGTCTCCTGCTTCTTTCTGTACCTCTTGGGTCATCTTTCTTCGGCCCCTTTCCCGCTTTCCTCTTCTACTTGCTATGCTTCAAATATCTTATTCCTCATGCCTCTTTTCTTGCCCCTCCACATTGAATATTCTTAATCTAAGGGTCCCTTGAAATTGATATATATGTTTTAACAGGAACATTTTTCTGGAAAGACAGAACTTTCATCACATTCTCAAAGATAACAAGAATCCCTCAAAAGGTTAAATCTTCTGCAACTTGTTATTCCTGGGCAATCTCATCCGCTCATACTTTCCTACCACCTACACGCTGATGACATCCTTTAGTCAGAACTGACCCTTCCCAACTGAAAGCCCTTCAGTGGTTTTCATTTCCTGTTCTTTACAAAAGGCACAGGCCTTTTAAGATAAAACCCTGACTGCCTTTCTAGTTTCCTATGTGTCCCTCTGCCTTCTAGTTTGTGTTTCAGAACTAGTTAGCTGCTTTGAGCTGTGTGGGGCGAGTGGCATTCCAATGGATCCCTCTCTCTGCCCTGGGGACCTCTTATCCTCTGTCTGGGAGTTTTATTTAATTGTCGATTAAAGCAGCTTCCTGTCCCAGTTCTTTTCTGTCTTTCGTTTCAATGACATTAAACATAAGTATCTTAGCAGAAAAACATTGTGTCACTCAAACAAAATGAGTTTGTGAAGGAAGCGTTTATCTAACTGGAAGGTGGTTTCAGATGCTTTATTAAATTGGCTTACTCTAATAATTTAAACACTCAAATTGGGGGCGGGGCCTCGGCTCAGGCTTTACCTTCTTCAGGAAGCATTCTAGGACACCTTTCTCCCTTCCAGGCTCCATGAGGTGCCCTTCTAATGTGCATTCATTAATCCTTACATCTTTTCTCATTATATACTCACCATACTGAGTCGCAATTCTGTTTCTGTATTTGTCACCCCTACCTGAGAACAGAGATGTTCTTATTCATCTTTGTGCCTCCAGCAGTTAACACAGTACCTGCATCAGAATACAGCCTCAGTGAATATTAACTGAGCTGAACTGAAGTGGAAAATAATGGTCTTTACCCTCAAAACTTCTTCAGGTGGAGCTTCTCGCCTGCCACCTGGCTGTGTCCTACTTCAGTGAACTCTCCACATTCCCCCCAATAAATGTCATTCTAGGAAACATACCTTATGATACCTAAGTCAGAAATCGTAAAAGATATATACACTTGACTAACAAAGTAAAATTTCTATACTGAAGACATTTATGCCAAAGTAAATTCCCATGGAACAAAGATTTAAATATTAAAAAAATTAAGCCTAAAAATATTCAAAGAAAATGTACAGGTTTTTTTCTTCTTTTTTTAAATATGTGAAGTAGAAAAGGCCCTTCCAGTCATGAAGGGTGACAGACAAATTTACCTACGTAAAAATGTAAGGCTTCTAAATGGCAAATAAATACATAAATAAATAAAGTAAAAAAAAACTTTATTCTGATCTGGTAATCTTTTTCTTTTTTTAAATACAAAGTTTTTAATTTGCATATTGTTGCCAGTGTATATAAAATAATCATCCTTGTGAGATAGAAATTCATAAAAACTCAGAGAGGAAGGTGCCCAGGACCGACAAAAGCAGAAGTCTACATGGTGTGGCACATGTTGCAGGGATAAGCTTTCTGTACAGGCTTCACATCTAGCTCTCTGAATATTCACTGGTTCATGAACAGTAATTACAAGGCATTTGTTAAATATTATAGACACTCACTACACGGTAGGAATGGTGTGAGGCTCTCTGTGCATGATCTCATTTCATTAGGTCTGTGGAGAACATTCTACTTTTTCTACAGCCATGGCCCCCACAATAGGGAATATTAAGAGCTCTAAAAATCTGTGAAAGAAATCCAGAAGATATTTGTTGTTCTCCTTGGGGAAGCACAATTCAACTCCCTCCAACTGAAAACAACAGGGATTTCCAAGATCTGCCCCTCTCCCCAGGCACGGTTCACTTCCTCTTCTCACTGTTGCTCTCAGAAGGTCCGAGTACTCAGCAGCCAGGTCAGGGCAGGGTGCAATTTAAACTTGAACTAAAATTGCCCCGCCTTTATCTTCTAAGCGTTAGGAGCATGAATAACATATGGAATCAGGCCAGAGTTTGAATCCTGGTCTCTTATCTTCTGTTTTCCCTATCCATAAAAATTATTGAGGTAATCCCTACCTCCTGGAGTTTCTTAAGGTATTCTCCCTCGTTTGCTAGTTGGTTCATTCACCCACCCTTTCATTCACTGAGTTTACCGAATACCATTACCTACCAAGCACCATTCTAGTACGGTAGCTCTCAGTGAATGGAGCGCCGACAGGGGTCTGTAACTCTAAAGCTCAAAGCAGTTACTGCCTTTACTATCAGTGGTAGTTTTCCCCACAAATCAACAAAACAAAGAAAATCACCTACACAACAACGGGAAGATACAAAAAAGAATTTCTTGGCAAGGAGCTTTACAAAAAGAAACTTTTTCCTGAAGGAATTCCAGAAGCAAGAAGGTCCTCCTTCACTTCACTTAGTTCTCCGAGCTGTCCTCAGGAATCCTCGAGGTTCCTGGACAGCTCACTCAAGAAACCTTTGTAGGTTTCTTGCCCCGCAAATCCAGAAACCTACAGTGTATTCTGGGTTGTAATGATTTATTATAGGTTCCTGTTCTGCCTGGCACCCTTCATCCTTTGTCCAGACACTTAATCTTTCTGGGCTTCCATTTTTTCAAATGAAAATCATAGGTTCCAGGTTCCTAGCTGGTTCAGGCACGGTAAGCAAATGACTCAGCTATCTCTGGGGGCTGGTTCGGAAATCGAGGGCGCTGGACAAAGGTGAGTCCAGGCTGAAGTTCTGGGATGGGTGATCCCAAGCTTGGGAACGCAACCGAGATCAGAGGGCGCCCATTTATAAATAACGAACCCACCCCGCCCAACCCATGCCTTAAGCATCACGAGGCCTTACAGGAAAATGAAACTGAAATGGAAATGTCCTTTTCTAACCTGGTTCAGCACAGCCAGCTAGGAGACTGGTGACGGGCAGGGTTCTGATTGGCGGTGCACTCGTGTAATATAAGCTGAGACGCAGGCTCGGAAGGCGCAGTTGGAGGCGCAGACTGGAGCTCCGTTCCTCACTCGTCCGGCGTTGCTCTATTGGAGATGGCTCTCCCCGTGGCCTTGGTCCTGCTCGGACTGCTCTCTCTATCTGGCCTGGACGCCCTCCAACGTGAGTGTCCCCTCCTCCCCATTTCTCCGCTCACCCTTCCTCTCCCGGTCCCCCTCAACTCTCAACTCTGTAAGTCCCGGGTTCCCCAAGTTCTCTTTCCCTGACCAGGGTACTTAGCCCCGGGCTGGGTTGGAGGATGGGGGAGCAGTGTGGGTGAGAGCCGAGGACGCAAACTTTTTTCTTCTTTCCCCGAGAGCCGGGCACGGGGGAGACCGCTGCCACGCCCTGGCTGAATCGGTGCAAAGTTTTGGGGTGTTGATAAGTTCCAGAGAGACCGGGGTGGGGGGGGGGGTTCTTTTCCACTCCTTCACGGGATCTCTCGCTCCCTGGACGCAGCTGGAGGGGAAAGGGGATAGGCGGGTTCCAAAAGCGCGTAGCTAGGGACTGTGACTGGGTGGAGACAGACATTTGGGCTTTGGGGAAGTCACTGCCGTGGTAAGTCAGTTCACTGCAGCTCTGCTGGGAACCGCAGGGCTTCGGGCTTCCTCCTCGCGCCCACCAGGCTCACCTAACCCTTCGTATTTTCACTTAAATATGGGATCAAACTTTGGCGGGGGATCAGCACGCAACGTGTGTAGAATGCTTTGAGGTGTTACAGAGCGCTTTCACATCATTAATTCACTTGTTCCCATTACATGTCGCTTTAATAATCAATAAAACTGCCTGTTTTTGATAACTCACAGCGTGCCAGGGACGCTGTGTGCTTAAAGGGGAAAAAAAAAAAAAAGCACATCCTTTTTGAGTCCAAACTTTTGGCGTCCCTGGGCCACACTGGAAGAGGAAGAGTTGTTTTGGGCCACACATTAAATACACAAACAGTAATGAAAACAGAAGAATTTCATAATGTTTTAAGTAAATTTACGATTTCCTGTTGGACACCCCTGAATGCAACTACAATGTAAACATGAAGGTTATCAGTATCTCACAGATGAGGAAACTGAGGCACCAAGATTTTAAGTACCTTGATCACACAGGGAATATATGGCAGACAATGGCTCCTGACCAGAGCATTATGCTGGGGTGTTAGCCTTTGGGCTGTATGTAATCTGCATGTTTTTCAGAACTGCCTCCTTTGGGTGTGAGATTGTCAGGAACACAATGGACAGCCACAGGCCCCTCTTGCTTTTTTTTTTTTTTTTTTTTTTTTTTCCACAGAGGGCTTCCTTTTTGGCTCCTTGCCTGGTACTTTCCAAGATGAGTGGAGCCTCTACTCTACTTTCAGTTTTGAGAAAGCCAAGGCTAATTGGTCAGAAAGGTTGTAAAACCAGTGAATAAGTAATCAAAGTGATTACCCAGGCTGTCTGCTGAGGACACCAGGGACATTGAGCATGTTCCAAATACCCTGTGATATAGCTGACTCTTTCATTTCCCCCTCACAAAAGACCATGCTTCCCCCTCTGTGAAGCATGGTCTTTTGATCACGACAAAAAGGTATTTAATTTATAATTTATTTACAAAATAAAGCATAATATCTGTCATCATTATTATTATTTGCTGCTGACTATAGAAGCCTTTTGAAAAACAACAAGCTGACATAAAAAAATCTTAATTTGAAAATGTCCAGACTAATACATGCCCTGCATAGATCATTTCTGGAAGAACCACAGGAAATAGGTGATTTCCTCTGGGGGTCAGTTGTCTGCCCTATCGCATGTATGGGTTATGTTTGATTCATTGCGGGCATAAATTAATTTTTCAGGTAAACTTTGGAAGCTAAAGTAATTCTACCAAAGTCACAGAGTCAATAAGTGGATGAGTCCAGATTCAAATTCGGTCCTGGCTGATATTGGTCCTCTTCTTAGAAGAGATTTTCGTGATGTTTTCGCAAAACCCTACCTGGTTCCCTCAGAATAAGAATTCCAGGCCAGATGAACCTTGCTCTGACTCCTGTGGCATTTATTATATTCTGATTATCAGAAGCTCAAATATGAAGTGCATTCTGATTTATCTTCACTTTTAACTTTATGAAAAAAATAAAATCAGGGTTGCATTGGGATCCCCCCAGTCCAGTTCTTGTGGACTTTCAATATTTCCTTTCCTGGTGACCTTTCCTTTGGTGATAGAGTGTTTCTAGGCAGACGTGTATGGTCAGAGTAGCCTGGTACTCTTCCTCTTCCCCACCACCTTCTGGAACTGGAGGAACAGCCCTGTAGTAATCCTGTACCTTGAATGTGCATGTATTTTAAATTGAATTATATGTGTATATTAGTGTTAGCCTGTATATTTAGTAGCAATAAAATTTCTCTATGTTTTGGGTGAAAAATGTAGAAATAAAGTTTATATTTTCTTTCTGAAGCCCCTAGGATGCATGAAGTCTAGTCATGCATCCCCTTTTGGAAGCCACTGTTCTGTAGCATTATGCAATGTATTCCGAACATGGCTAGTTATAGGAATAATTTTAGGGTGCTGATTAAAATGCAAATCCCATTTTCATGCATTACTCTGTTTGGTCATAAAGGAAAGTATGTTCTCTCCCATTTGCCTCAGTCCTCACCCTTTCCTTTTGTTCTGATCCAGCCCAAGCCACTCATTTAAGCTATTTGCCATTTAAATTTCGGAGCTCATGAAATCAGGTACAAAATCAGATAGGGGTTTGGTATATAAACTCTGAGCTAGATGAAGAGTTTGTGTTTTGTAGGAACATACCTTGTGTTGACTCTCTTAGTAACCTGACACAAGTAGGTAATAATAACGACTGCCAATTATGGAGCAACTGCTGTGTGCTAGGCACTTTACCAGACATTTGATAAATATTGATGAATCAGATGGGTGTTGATTTAGGCAGGAGCAGGAACCAAAAGGAAAGGTGTAAACATAAGAAAAAAATTGAAGGGGCTGAAACAGGGTATGATAACATGAGTTTTTTGATGTGGCTACAATGGGAGGGTGTGTGAAGTGAAAAATGAAGTTTGAAAAGTAGGTTAGGACTAAATCATGTAGACTTTTTAAAAAGTTGAATGTATTGGGTTGACATTGGTTCACAAAGCCATACATGTTTCAAGTATACAGCTCTATGGGTGCTGAGAAGACATCAGAAGTTCTTGAAAGCCTCCACAGAGAGGTTCTTGAAGATTTGGCACAATCTCCAATGACAGAAGCTACTACTAGTAATCTGGTAGAAAAAGCCAAAAGTGCATCTGTAGGGGAATTATAAGGTAGCCTTTTGGAAAAGTGAAAATGGAATCAGAAGAAATGGATGATCAAATTTAAATAGTTGGTGCCTGGCCTAGCTTTAAACCAAAGTAGCCCCATGTGAAATACTTTGCATTTTCATTTGTCTTTCCCTGATGTTTCTCAGGTGCTCCGAAGATTCAAGTTTACTCGAGGCATCCAGTGGAGAATGGAAAGCCAAATTTCCTTAACTGCTATGTATCTGGGTTCCATCCACCCCAGATTGAAATTGACTTGTTCAAGAACGGAAAGGAGATGAAAACAGAGAAGTCAGACCTGTCTTTCAGCAAGGACTGGTCTTTCTATCTTCTGGCGCATGCAAATTTCACTCCCAGTGCCGAAGATGTGTACACCTGCGTTGTGAAACACGTTACCCTGAATCAACCCAAGATAGTTAAGTGGGGTAAGTTTTCAAGTTCTCTTTTTAGTGGCTGGCCATTGTATCTAGCCACAGAACAAAGCTGCTTTGATTTTTTTTTTTAATATGCATACTGGGATTGTCAGGAAATGTTATTGAAGCTCTGATAGGTGGCACCCTCTGAGAGACCTCTGCACAGCATGGCCTGGGAAATGGTAGTTTTCCTGTGACAAAAGCAAGGAGCAGCAATAGCGCTTGCACAAATACACACTCATTCCTAATATTTCTTAGCTACTGCCTTCCCTAGGCTTTCCTGACAGCCTCACAGATACGTAGGACCAACATGCTTCTCAGGGAGGCACAGGCCTTTGCAAGTCTTGCTCTCCGAGCACCCTGCAATCTGGACTCCTCCAGCACTCTGCCTGGATTGAGATCTGAGGCTAGTAAGCAGGTTTGGGTAGTACTAGTAGTTCTAAACAAAGTGTTCATGGTCAAGGACAGCAGGCTATTCTGCTAGACATTTGTTAATATATAGTATTTTAAAATTAAAACTTACCGTTTTCCTTTTTCTTTCCCCATCTTCTTTTTCATAGATCAGTATAACTAAGCATCATCGGGGAGGTAAGTTTCTAAGTTTAAGAAAATGCTTTTTTATTGTTGTTTCATTATCCTGGGAACTATTTCTAGGCAGCTCTAATATGATAACCCTCAGTATATGGAGAACATTAATCAGGGTAGCATTTCAGCAGGCAGAGAAAATTCCTACATGGTCACATTCCCTTTCCTGTATCAAGGGTGGCATGAGGAAGGTGCGTGGCCCCAGCTGTGGCTCTGCCAGCATCCCTGGCCCTCTGAAGGAAGTCAAAGGAGGTGCTGGTGTGGTGTGACAGGACAGAGGCAGCAGGTTACCCATTCCACCTGCAAGGGCTTGCTTTTTCTTCTGACATTTCCACATGGTGCATCTCTGGGCCTTCAAAAATGAACCATTCTTTTCTGTTGCATAGCAGTTGCTATATTATTCAGTCAGAAGAGAGGAGGGACATGGTTCTGAAGACGTTCCATTCCTTCAATATCTCATGAAGCCTTAGTGCATGGGCACTGCGTTTGCCTTCTAGAGGCTCCCTGCCCAATAGAGGAAATAGAAACATTTTTATAATGCAATATAAATATACTAAAATAGATGTATCTATAAGGAGCTCTAGCAGCATGAAAGAGGGAGGAATTGGACTTCTTTGCATGTTTGGATGGAATCCAGAGGTAGAAAATCCAGCTTTTTAATGAAATCTCCACAGGGTGCCTTAGGTACCGAAAACCTATTCAGATCTCCTGTGATATTTTGGGGCATGGAAATTAATTCAAGAGAGCATCAGAGAAGCTGGGTGACTTGCCCAGAGTCACTTAGTAACTAAAATAGTAGAGCTAGAATCTGAACTCTAATACCAGCAGTCTTTTCTCTTAGGTTGTAGGAGAATCAATGGGATAAACTAATAGGAAATGCTCTTTCTAATGGGTCTGGGAAATTGTCTACAGCTACTTCTTTTACAAATGGTGATGTACATAGCAAAAGTTAGACAAGTTAGGTGGTGCGACCTGTAGTTCAAATAATACAAGTATATTTACTAACAAAACTTTACTTTTTTTTCAGGTTGGAAGATTCTTCTTGTGGATTGAACTAATTTCATATTGCTTTTTTTCTTTTTAATGCTTTTATGTTATTATGTTTTATGCACACAAGTTAAAAAAAATACTATGTTAATACAAATACAATCTTTACACATTTACTTTAGGGTCTCTGTCTCCTGGGTTGACCTATTTGATCAGGGGGTCCTTGACAGCTTTCAGATGGAGAGGAAAGGAGGGAATTCAACATTGGCCTTATGAAAAAATTTTTATAAAATTCATGTTTCCCTCAATCTGTGTTGCCTGTATTTTGATAATTTTTTTCTTCATCAATTAAAACAATGGTAAAACTTGATGTGTTCTGTTTTTTTATGTATCTCTCCCTCTCTTACCCTTTTGTTTTCAAACAGGGAAACAGTCTTCAAGTGTCACTTGAAGACTTGAAGAAGAGTGTAAACTCCTGGTGTATATACCAGGTATATTCGCAGTGGAAGGGGCCTCAGCCACCTGCATTTTGCAGATAAAGAACAGGATCCAAGAGAAGTTAAGAGAGTTAGTCAGGCTGACACAGGAGTCTGCTGGAAGACTAGGCTTCCTTCCATCTTTTAGCCAGAGATCTGTTCCCTGGGTCAAAATATGAGGAATGTACAGACTCAAATAGAAAACAGGAGTATCTAGAAAATTTTATATTTTAGCAAGTGGTAAACTGTGAATGAAAAACACTAGATTTTTTTAATTTCAAGGCATAGTTTGTACACGATGACCCATTTTGGGCATTTGTTTATTTGACCAAGAGATTCAGTTAGCTAATGTTAAATATTGACAAGACGAGTAAAACATAACATTGCCCTCGAATTGCTCAGTTTAGTGGAGTAAACTGACATAAATTCAAACATAAAGTCAAATGATTAAAATGATCCTGATAAAGAGTATAGCACAGGTAAGCCCAAAGAACTAGGGGATAGGAAAACGTGTTCAGGGAACAAAAAAAACCCTTCAGGTAGGTGTTAGGAAAGCCATGTGCTTGAGCTGAGACTTGGTGGGTAGTGGTTCTCCCTACTAGCGAGTGGGGCCTGGAGTTTTCAGTCAGGGGGGCAAAATTATGAGACGTATAGAGGTATGACAGGTGTGGATAATTCTGAACAGTAGAACCAAGATACCTGGGGGAAAAGATTCAGAGTAACTAGGCTGAGAAGATTGAGGGGTGACTTAGATCAGTAATGTTACAGAACAGTACTTGGGGTTCTGCTGCCCACCGCTGCCCTCTAAGCAAAAATTCCAGAGGCAAAGGTTTGGTGATAAAGGAAAGGAGTCTTTATTCGAAAGCAGTTACTTAAACCTATCAAGTCACAGCTTTAATCACGTAAGCATACCAATTAAAGTTAAACTCTACCACCTGAGTTCTATTTTTCACTGTTAGTTTTTATTTTGTTTCTATAGGGTTAGTTTATAAACTAAAAAACATAATAGACAAAAACTACAGAATTTTGGGAGAATAGCAGGCTTCTGCCTCAGAGCTTGTTCCCTCTAGAACACCCAAAGAATAAACCTGCCACCCTCCGCCAGGCCAGCCTGATCCTTGGCTGCGCCTGGAATTCCTTCCCATCCAAAATACCGACAATGGGAAAATTTGGGGAGCTGCAGCACAATTATCCAGGCATCCTCGAGGAAGAAAAGCCTGAGAGAAAGCCTGAGAAAACCAGCTCAGGAGCCAGAGAGCCAGCCCTCTTTTTATTTCCAAAGGCTCTAGAGGCATTCAGCTTCTCAGCCAGTCCCATCCTAGACTGCCCACAGTTGCCCTAGCAAACTCCTCCTACAGCCCTTCCCTGCTTCTCCCCACTGATCTGAGTTGTCTTAATCAGATCTCTTTGTATCAATAACTCTTTATCCTGGATTCACATTTAATCACCCGTGGAACTTACTAACAAATAGTAGCTCTCAAAGTTAGCCTATTTAAAAACTCCAGCTCTCAGCTCCAATCCAGAGTGCTAAATCACAGTCTCTAAGTAGGGAGCACAGCCAGACAACAGTATTATCATTATTATTTTTTAATTAAGACCTTATGCCTTTAAAGCAGTTTTAGGTTCACAGCAAAATTTAGAGGGAGATGAAGAGATTTCCCATACATTCCTTACTCCTACCTGTCACAGTCTCCCCCATTATCAACATCCCCAACCAGAGTGGCACATTTGTTACAACTGATGGCACATCATTATCACGAAAGTCATACTTTACATTATATTTCATTCTTGGTGTGTTGTGTGTTCCATGGGTTTGGACAAATGTATAAATTACATGTGCCCATCATTATGATATTATAGTGTATTTCACTGCCCTAAACAACCTTCGTGCTCCCAATGGTCATTCCTCCTAGCTGCTCCCCACCCCCGACAACTTGTGGCAACCCCTGATCTTGTTACCATCATTGTTTTGCCTTATCCAGAATGTCATAACTGGACTCATATAGTATGTAGCCTTTTTGGGTTGGCGTCTTTTACTTAGTAATATGTATTCATGATTCATTTGTGTCTTTTCATGATTTAATAGCACATTTCTTTTTAGCATTAAATAACATCCCATTGTCTGGATGTACCACGGGCTATTTATCCATTCACTTAACAAAGAGCATACTGGTTCCAAATGTTGGCAATTATGAATAAAGCGGATACAAATATCATGTGCATGTTTTTGTATGGACATAATTTTTCACAATATTTTAAAAGTATTTTCATTAATTATGCTATTACGATTGTCCCATTTTTTCTCCTCTTTATACCCCTCCACCCTGCCCCCCTCCCACCAGCATTCTCCCCACTTAGTTCACATCCATGGGTCAAACATGTAAGTTCTTTGGCTTCTCCATTTCATGTACTATTCTTAACCTCCCCCTGTCTATTTTGTACCTACCAATTATGCTTCTTATTCCCTGTACCTTTTCCCTCATTCTCCCCACTACCCCGCCCTACTGATAACTCTCCACGTGATCTTCGTTTCTGTGATTCTGTTCCTGTTCTAGTTGCTTGCTTAGTTTGTTTTTGTTTAGGTTCAGTTGTTGACAGTTGTGAGTTTGTTGTCATTTTATTGTTCATAGTTTTGATCTTCTTTTTCTTAGATAAGTCCCTTTAACATTTCATATAATAAGGGCTTCATATGATGAACTCTTTTAACATAACCTTATTTGGGAAGCACTTTATCTGCCATTCCATTCTAAATGATAGCTTTACTGGATAGAGTAATCTTGAATATAGGTCCTTGACTTTCATGACTTTGAGTACTTCTTTTCAGCTCCTTCTTGCCTGTAAGGTTTCTTTTGAAAAATCAGCTGATAGTCTCATGGGAATTCCTTTGTAGATAACCATCTCCTTATCTTTAATCTTGGGTAATTTAATTATGATGTGTCTTGGTGTGTTCCTCCTTGGGTCCAACTTCTTAAGGACTCTCTGAGCTTCCTGGACTTCTTGGAAGTCTATTTCCTTTGCCACATTAGGGAAGTTTTCCTTCATTATTTTTTCAAATAAGTTTCAATTTCTTGCTCTTCCTCTTCTGCTTCTGGCACCCCTGTGATTCAGATGTTGGAACATTTAAAGTTGTCCCAGATGTTCCTAAGCTTCTCCTAATTTTTTTGAATTCTTGTTTATTCATTCTGTTCTGCTTAAATGTTTATTTCTTCCTTCTGCTCCAAATCATTGATATGAGTCCCAGTATCCTTCTCTTCACTGTTGGTTCCCTGTATATTTTTCTTTGCATAGCCTTCACTTCTGCCTCTATTCTGTGCCTATACTAAATCATTTCTGTGAGCATCCTGATTACCAGTGTTTTGAATTCTGCATCTTATAAGTTGGCTGTATTCTCTTCACTTGAGGAGTTCTTTTTCTGTGGTTTTGATCAGTTCTTTCATTTGGGCCACGGTTTTTTTTCTCTGCTGCCTATTATGTAGTCAGGGGGAGAGCCTTAGGTATTCACCAGGGTGGGGCAACCCACTCGGCCACATCGTGGCCCTGTGTGTGGGGGAGGAGTCTAAGAGGAAACAGTGCTACTTGCTCAGCTCTTGCCCTGCTTTCAGTCAGGGCAAGCAGCACAGCTTGCAAGAAGCAAACAGTGCTGCTTGCTTGTGGGGAGCACTTCCTCTGCTCCCCACAAGCATGTTGGGCCCTCCTGGTGCTGATTCCTGGCATTTTGACAGCATATGTTTTGATGCAGGTTCTAGACTTTTAAGGATAGCCTGAGAGGACCCCATATTTAAATGACCAAAGGAAGTGACAGTGAGGAAAAGCTATAAGGGGGGGGGGGGAGTGATGGCTTAAATCAGTTCACCAAAGTAAAGGGGAAAAACTGCATCTGGAAGGGAAAGTCAAACAACAACAACCCAGAAATGTGAGTTAGAATTCAGCAGTTTTAACTTGAAACTGCTCTGTTGTCCTAAGGACCTCCAAGGAAAACATCAAGAGATGAGACTGTGATTATAACTTAGTGGTCTGTGTATAATATTCCTCAAGAATGGCAATCAACTTTTGGCAGCAGTGGCAGACATCCTGCTCATCCACCCTTCAGAGCATTAGCGTTTTCCTATCTCTGGCACTCTAAACTGAGGTGCTACTTCTGAACAAACTATTAGCCTTTTTAGTCCCCACCCCTAATCTCTCTTAGCAGATAAACCCACAGGAAAAAGTTCAGAAACATATACACAACAACCTTTTAATAATGTTTACTTTGGCACAGGGGCTACGATGGCAGAGAAAGATAAAAGCAGACATTTAACAATATTATTCTGCATACTTCTATGATTTGAAGTATTATAACTTTTATGTTCACTATTGTTTAAAATAGGAAGTTTAGGCAGAAAGGAAAATTTGGTAATCCCATCACCCAGAGATGATCACTTATGTTCATTTGGGTGTGTTTAGCTTCTCAGATTTTTATTTATTCTATGTGTAAAACTGTTATTGTTATCATCATGTTTATTTTAAATATTTAAAAATAATTTTATATATCATTTTTTCACCATTTCTAATGAAAACATGGCAGAAATAGCAACAATATAAAGTACTGGCAAATGTTTTTTCTAGTTTTTGTCAACAACCACTCTCCCAATCTTGTGGGCTGTTGCTTTTTACCTACGTTTTATATGTTGTAAATTCTCGAGGTAAAACTCAAGGTCTTTCTTTAATAAAAGAAACATTTGATTTGTGATATAGCCTTTGAGATTTTAGGGGCAAAAATAAGCCTATCTCTCCATGGACTCTGGGCTTTTAGGGAAAAAAATTAAGACTAACATTGGGATCCTAGATATCTTAAAATAAATAAAGTATCTGTGACTACCTTGACTGGAAACTTTATGGATTAAAAATTATTCTG